CCTGCTGAAATTCAAAGCAGTGTGTAGTGCCAGATTAAGAGAAGATCTGATCCTTGCTCTGAGACTTTAAAAACATTTATTTTCTTCCCTGAAAGTACAGGTTTAGTAATATGTATCACTTAAGTAGCAGTTAGTTGCTAAACATCTGTGTTGATCATAAACACTTGCTAGCCATGTTTAAAGTAAAAGAAACAAACTTCCATGATGTATGACCAAGGAAATCTGGAGACTACTGCATACCTGCATGACAGGAGCAGATTAAAAATTGGGAAAATAGAGAGATCTGTTTTTATTTGTTATTGTTTTTCTTATTTTTAAAATGTCAGCAATTGCTTGGAGTTAGGGAGTTACAACATGTGGTATCAGCCCTTCCTGTTCATTTAAATTTTTCAGACTGGGGGTAAACAACAACAAAGAACATACTTGCTGGTTATGGTGTTTCACAGGGAAATTACAAGAATAATTCTAAATGGATATAATGAGTATTAAATGTTACTTAAGACTTAAAATCAAGAGGGAAGTGCAGTGATGAGAGGGCTTAACACTTGTTTAATGAGCTCTAGGATATTATTTCTCTGTTAAAAAGATATCCTCCTATATTTATAGAATATAAACATACCTTTCAGAAAGGTACTTTGAACACTTGCCTTGATAGGACGTTAGATAAAGCACTGGATAATTTAAAGTTTAAATCCTGGACAGTTTAGTAAAGAAAAATTGAACATGTTCAGGTGTTCCCAGTTTTTTCAGAAAGTAGTATGACTGTTAAAAATACTTCCGGTCTTTGTAAGTGGAGTTGTTAATGGTGTAAGACAATTCCGTAATACCTAATGCTGATAGGGGGACAGTAGAAGAGAAACAGCACCCGTTTCTAAAGAAAAAAAATCAAACAAAAAACCAAAAAAGACTAAACCCATAGACTTCAAAATAATACCCTTCATCTGAAAATCACCACTGAGAGGTAGGCTCTTAACTTCAGAACTGTTTTTTCTTTTATCATGAAGTAATGGATACTTCTGAATTAGATGTGTTCTTTGTGATAAAATTATGAATGAAGAACTGATAATAAATGTTGTCTTTGTAAAATTTAGCACTGAGACCTTGATACTCTAAAACTAAGTATGTCTTAATTTTTAACAGATTGTGCTATTTATGTTTTACTGAAAATGGCAATAACATACTTCCAGTGATTTATTTCCCCGTCAGTGCTGTTTAACAGTTGCAGGGTGGGAAGCGTAGAAATTGCATCTTTTCTTTCTTTTTCAAGGGTAGCAGCTGGCACTACCTGAGCAAAAATAGCTCATCATTGTACTTATTTTTGTAACTAAGGCTTAGGGTTGTTTGGCTTTTTTAGGTGCTCACCAGCTAGTTGGGATGTAGACATAGCCAAATTACATTTTGTTTTAAGTTGTTCTTCAGAAGCTTGTTTCAAAGAGCTGCTTTTAAGAAATAACTGGAAAATCAATGTCTTCAAATACTTGAAGAGATATTTGTATCTTTTGGTTCATACATGGTTAAAAATAACAAAAAGATTTAAGATGTCTTTCCTACTAAATAAAACATAACGTGCCATGCAAGTGTGCGTGGTTGGTATGATGTAGGAATCTTACAGATAATAGTTACATATCTAGTGCTCCTTAGAAGAAATTGATAGTAGAAATTAGTAACTTCTCAAACAGAATTTAGGTAAAGGACCCTTATCTTTTTTAAGGTTCCTGCATGACTGCTAAATTCCACTTGAGTTGGCAGAACATGTGTTACCAGAAGGATTTAACTTCTTGGAAAAATACATTACACTCCTGTCTTCCCCCTGCCCTGTAATTCAATAGGAATATAGATGATTGAGTCATGGTATCCTACAAGTAATTAAAATGAAAATTTCAGTAAGATAACAGGAAAAACTCTAATGTTTTTGTATGAAGCAGCTAATACTGCCAAAATGCAGAAGTGGGAAGAAGTTTCTCCAAATCTCTCTTTTCCAGTCCTTCTATTTCATTGACATTCTCTTGACTGAATTCAAAGTTGCATTTAGCAGTTTTTTTTTCGGTTGCCACTTAAAGATAAGTACAGAAACATGTAATTACCGTTTTCATCTGTTGATTTGGATTTACTGGTACAATTTGAAGGTCTAGTATGAGAAGACTCTTTTTGCACCATATTTTTTCACCATCATTGACCTTGTGGTCCTTCCTATGAGGTATCTGTACTAGAGTCTAATCCCTCATGCTACCACTGTTCTTTAAATCTTGCTGTGAAGATACATAAATATCAGATAGAGTAATGCTGAGTTGGATGACTTAGGATGATAAAATAGACTTAACCAGCTAAACTTTGGAAAAACCTGACTGTAGACATGAGGTTTTCCCACCTCCCTCATTATGAACTCAAGTTAAAAGTAATCATTTCCCATTCTGCTGTCCTTGGGCTTCTTTCTTTAAAATACCATTCTTGCTTTGTATACTGTTTCTTTGAAATTTACTTACAGTGGTTATACACTGATTATCCTGGAATATAATTGCAAGTTTAACAATTACCATCAGAGGAAATGTTCTTTGTGAAGTTTTAGACAAGTGTTGTCAGACAATTTTAAAATGCAGATACAAATTTTCTTTAAACCACACTTGATAGTGTTCTTTTTGACTTTGAACAAATGAGTATATGCTAACCACTTTTCTAACTATTCAGAAATAATGTTGCGACTAAGACTACTGGTGTGTATAGATGGATGTATATAATTGTTTTTACTTGCAAGGAATCTCTACTAGTCAGCTAAATCCCTGATCTTATTAGGTATTGAAATTTCTGTACTGTTTTTCAAGTAGCGCTATGTTCTTAGCCTTTTATTAAGGTTACTGGTATTAAAGTATAGTTGCAAGTTTCCTTTAAAATCTAAAATGTTTTGAGAGGTCCATTAGTCATGCCCTCAGGGAACATAGCCCCTTCATCTACTTAACAATACTTAATATTGTTATAGGGTCTATACCTGAGATAATAGTCTGTAGTTTCCAATGTAGAACTTACTGCAAAGTTTTAATGTTAAGGTTTGAATGTCTAGTTTTAGAAGTATAAATAGAATAGCATATTGTCTTTATCTCCAAAGGCATTATATTGTACTTCTAGCAAGCGCACCGACAGAAAAACAGCGACTAGAATGGTGAGTATAATACTTACTGTCTAAAAGAAAAAAAAAAATAACGCCAAACAACAAAACCAGACAAAAACCTGTCAACTTTGGACACAAGGGAATATCTGGTGTACTTTTTAATGAAACAAAGTGGAGCTTCAGTGTTTCAAAATTAAATGGATGAAGATGGTATGCTTCTGAAGAACAGTAGAAATGAGGAACCAGGGAGTGAAGGCTGTTGCTTGAATTTTGCTTCTTTATAGCACTGTCAGGTTCACTTTGCAAATCTTATTTTCTTAAGCCTGATTTATTTTTTTTGATAAGCAGTGTGAGGAGGTATATTTTCAATCTCTAGATATACTGCTTTCTCAAAACTAAAATGGCTCTTTCCCATGTTTCTGCTCTCTTGTTAGAGAAGTTTCAAGATTGTCAGGTATTGGGAAGTTCTTAATCTTTAAAATTCATCATCTGAATCCAAAAGAATATTGTAGAAATATGTCAGTCAGAAAAACTGCCTTTAATTGATGTGTAATGTCTTGCCATTTAATTCCATTTGTAAAATCAGGTCATAACGAGAGCTTCAGGGCCTTTTAATGCCTTCCTTACAATAGTTTTTGTAATGCGTTTGCTTGGTTTATTGATCTGAATTAATCTGTTGTGTATAGTGTATTGATTCACTTGTAGTCTGAAATGTTGGTGTAAGGAGAATGCTGAAGATTTTATCCTGATACATGACATTAGATACTTCTATTATTTCATATTAATGAGAACTTGCTAATAAGTGACATTTATGCAGGGTGGGCTTGGTGGAATCAAAAATCCGTATTCTAGTTGGAAACCTGGAGAAGAATGAATTCATTACATTGGCTCATGTGAATCCACAGTCATTCCCAGCACCCAAGGAGAATCCTGACAAGTAAGCAAACCTGGTTTTTTGTGTAATAGTGAGGAACTAACTTAGCTAATACACAAATTTGTTAATAAATAAACGCTAGCATTTTTATAGAATCTTAAATGGATTAATTCTTAATAGCAGCATCTAAAGGAAAACAGTTTTAAGCTCAAGTACTGTTTGTAAAATTACATCTTTATTCTGCATAAGAATGTTTCTAAGCCAGAAAATAACTTTATGGAAAGAATATATTTTTGCTAATAACTGTATTGATTGCATAATTTCTTGATAATGTTCCATGTTAGCTACTGCTACTTAGCTGCTGTTGTTTGAGCATCTAGCATCAGTTGGTAAGTCAGTTGTAATTATGAGGCAGCACTGAGAATTGGGTAGAACATCAGGCAGAGTAGAACTGAAATCTTCAATAACTAAGTACATTTAATGTTGTTAAATTTAGCAGCTGAGGTACAGATAATGTAAACTTGCTAATGGCTGATGCTGGAATTCCTTGGGATGTGGAAACAGTGGAGAGGATACCAAGCACTTCAATACTTGAGGATTATATGCTTATCAACTCCTGCCCTCTTCTGCTACCCCCTTCTCCGCCATTCAAACTATTTTTTGAGACTTTATTTTATTTCTAAATAGTGGTGTAATTAACTTGTAAGGAGTCATATTTTTTGTGCGAAGTGTGAGAATGGGGAAAAAATTTTGTCTTCACTGGGAATACATGAAAGAGCCTTGTTTACCTTCCACACAGCATTTTCCAGACATCAGCTGCTTCAAGTGACAGTATGGTGCTACTTTTTTTTAAAGTAATATACATAAATTACATGCATGTTCCAAGTGAAATTGGACAAAAGTAAGCTGTACCTCTTCAGCACCATTTTAGTGGGTAAATACAGCTACAACTGCCTGCATAATCAGTGGCTCCTATTATCTCTTATTTCAGAGGACTTGATATGGGCAACACTTTTAGGAAAGGTAATTTTCCTGGTGTAAACAATATCTGTTCTTTCACCTGCCTGCCTAAATTTGTTCATTGATGGATTGGAAAACAATGTTGTTTTGCAATAGTCTTACAGGGAAAAGACATTTCAATTAAAACATTAAATGTCTTGACCTGCTGAAGAAGTGTTACACTGTATTCTGTAATAGAATATAATAGTTAATCTTCCATATATACTATGTGAAGGTGAGCTGTCAAAGGCAGGTTTTTCTTGCCTGAAAACTGCACTTTGTAGTCAGTTACAGATAAGAAGTTTGAGAGTTGAAGACAAGTAGGTGGGAAAATAGTTAGAATCTGTTCCCTGACTAAATTTCTACTTGCCAGTCAGGTGCTGAGTATCTGTTATCTTCTTTCAAATCTGTTTCCTTTATGGTTGCGATGGCTGGTTGGAACTTGTAAAAATGAGAGAATCTATGGAGAAGCACAGTTGAATGAAGTAATCTACTGATGATGTTAGTTCATTAAGTTTGCTAAAGGTAGATGTGTCAGTGTTTCATGACTTTTTTTGTATTGTGAATGAAAAGGGAATGCCATTAAGACAGCTTTGTTTTTTTCCTTTCTATGGCTAGCTCCCTATTGCTAGTGGAGCTAAAATGTACAGCTGTTGTCTGTTGCAGCAGGTAATTGATTAGATTATTCAGTTTTTCTGTCAGTATAATATGACTGTTCTATATAAAATTTTCCAGGGAAGAATACCGCACAATGTGGGTGATTGGGTTGGTGTTTAAGAAAACAGAAAATTCTGAAAATTTAAGTGTTGATCTTACCTACGACATTCAGTCTTTTACAGACACAGGTGAGTTTTGCTTTCTAGATGATCTGGTATTAATAGACTTGTTGAAGTTACTGTCTTTGTTCAAAATGTAATCTGTTTCAGTAGTAGTATTGTATCTAGGCATAGAGTAGAAGGATTCATCTGAGTAGTTAGGATATTATTTCATGAAATACAGTTTTGATGAGTTTTAATGCTTCTAGACACTTCAGACTAATCATTTTCAATTTGTTTTCATTAAAACTGATTAAAATGATGCACACAAATCTTTCAGATTTCACTAAAAATGGTACTTTATATTGTGATCTTTATTAAACAGACAAATTGGTAATCACGGGCAAACTACCTAGCCTAACTTCTCTTTGACACTGCGTGTAGTTCAAATATTTTTTTTACTTAGTGAAACGGAATTTATCAGTGGATTAAAGCTGAGTATCTAGTGGGCTTTAGAACAAAATGCCTTTTCTTCCATGGTGTTTCATACTAGCTAGTAGGTTCAGTAACTTTTACTTTCACGTCCAACACTAAGTGCAAGAAACCTTTTTGACTTTTTAATGTTTAGCTTTTGATTCACAAAAATAATTTAGAACACGCGTAAGAGATCTGTAAGCAAAGAACTGGTGGCGGCTGGAGAGTGTGACTCTCAGAGTCTAAGACTAAGAAAGGAACAGTACCTTATCTAATAAATTTGCAATATCTTTTTTTAAACAAACGACAGTTAAGGCTCAAGTGTTACATGTTTACAGAGTTAAAGGAGTAGTTTCAAGTGCTACCTGATGTAACCCTGGTCTCTGGATTTCTAAGAGCCAATAAGGCTGCAAGCACGGAAACTGTCCGCTCACTCCACCACCACCATGCGCCCCATGTGGATGTATGAGTGAATATAATATAAACATACCTATATATGTTTTCAAGGAAATTATGCCAAGGTTTGAAAGTTCTTTATTGTCAAATATAGCTGCAGTGGGGGGTCTGTATGTGTGTTGGTATGTATGTGTGTGTGTCTTTTTCAGTCAAAGGGATTTTTATTTTCTTGAGAGGTGGAATATTCCTTTTCATTATAAGTGGTGAAGGTGAAACTATAAAAACATCCTAATTTCTGAGAATATAGAAAAGGCATAATAGCTTGGCTGCCACTTTAAAGGAGTGGAGGAATCTGTGAATTACAATTTCTCAGGTCTCCTACTGTTTATAAGCAGATATTTCAATAGTATACTTGTCAGAGTTTTTTGGTATGAAAATACTAAAACTTGCACTTGTGATTTTGAATCAATACGTTCATTTTTGCACTACATTCAAATCTGAAATTTGTCAAAATATAAGCAATTTTAAATGAAGTAGCATTTCATCAAAATCATTGTAGACTGTGATGCGTAGTTTTCTGTTCAGTTTGGAGATAGACTTCCAAAGGTAACCAACTAGCAAACAATTTCTGTTTGTGTGTTGTGGGTTTCTTTGTCATCTCAAATTATTGTGGGTCTGTCTTCATTGTTTTTAATCCTTCCCAAAAACTTCTGTCTGCGCATTCTTTTGGAATAGATTCTATCAAAACTACCAAAACATTTTCAAGAACGAGATTAGGGGAGTAGCTTGCTTTTTAGTGGGAGCAGGAGGAGGAAGAGAGCTATGAAGAGCGGGCTAGATTTTCCTTGTGTTGAAATTTTGGTAAGACATAGTGTCAGGATTTTGGAATGCTTAAGCATGTCTGATGTTCTCGAGCCTGCCCCTGCCTTAACTGTAACTCATATAATCTTTATGCAGAAGCTTTATGAGCTTTTTCAGTACCAAGAATTGGTGTAGTAGGCTCTTTAATATGCAGTATTCATTGACCTCCTTGAGTGGCTGTCTCTTAACAGCTTTTTAATTACATGTTCACAGCCTGTTCAATGAGATTCCTTAAAGTTTGTAAAATAGCCTGTGAATAAGGGAGATGCCTCTTAAGTTTCTGTATTTAAGATCTACAGAGTATTTTTTTATTCATACAATTGCTACGGCTTTTTTTCACCATTATATAGAAAGTGTCAAAGAACAACAAATTTTTCGTTTTTACCTGGCTTTACTTCAACCCAAGATATTAGGTTACATTCTAGTTCCTCTCTAGCACTAACTATATTGACTTCACCAGATGTAAACATTCAGGGGTGAAGAGAAATAGCTCATGATAGTAGACATAATTAAAAAAAAAAACACAACACAGGAAAAAAAACCAAACATAAATAACTTTTGTATAAAAATGTAGTGGTCTGAGTTGTCAAAATAATTTGTAATATATTAGCTGGCACACAAGCATTCGACTCCTGAATATAACCCATTTGTTTTAGGAGCCGGATAAATAAAAGCTTAATCAACTGTGAAGAACAGTTTTATGTAAACACTGTAATTCTGATGAGGAAATCTTATTTCTGTCTTTAGTCCCTTTGAGATGAAATAAATAATTCACTTCAGAGATATTACTGTTAAAACTTGTTAACAATATAGTTTGGAGAACTGCATACTTGTAAGATACTACAGGCTGCCCAGAGAGGTTGTGGAGTCTCCTTCTCTGGAGACATTCAAAGCCCACCTGGATGCGTTCCTGTGTGATCTGATCTAGGTGTCCTGCTCCGGCAGGGGGATTGGACTAGATGATCTTTCGAGGTCCCTTCCAATCTCTAACATTCTGTGACTCTGTGATTCTGTGAAGATATTTTTCTTGAAAAACAGGTCATCTGTTTCCAAAGTAACGTTTTGGTGTTTGGACTATGAGTGCTGGCATAGTAGGCCATTCACTTTTTTCCTCCAGAACTAGGAAACACTATGGCTGTTGTTGAGGGTAATAAATGTTCTGAAATGCAAATTGTTCCTGCCTGGGCAAGTAAGTGGACTTTGCTAACTGGTTCAATATGTCTTAATGTTATTCTAATTGCGTAGTTTATAGGCAAGCAATAAACAGCAAGATGTTTGAGATGGATATGAAGATTGCTGCAAGGCATGTGAAACGTAAGCAACTTCACCAACTGCTACCTAATCATGTGCTTCAGAAAAAGAAAAAGGTAAACTTGACTAATATTTGAAAGCAATAAAAATGCCATTGAGAAATGATACCTCAGCTTTTTTTGATTTACTAATCAAAGAACTGAGAACTAAAATCACATTTTGAAAGCTTAGTTTCACCTGTATAAGCAATGTGATCTCATTTGACTGTAGCAGTATTAGTAGCTGCACTAAATATAATACTAGATTTCCCAGAACATCAACAACATGGATGGTATGATCAGGTTTCAGTGAAATATTGGATTTTGTTGGCCTTCCTAAAGTAAACAGGTGTAAAACAGTGTAATAACAAGTTTTTAAAGCTCTCTTGCTATTTTAACATGCAGGTCACCTAAAGGAAGCATCTGTAACAATGCCAGTAGAACAATCAGTCAAGCAATTCATGCTGTCTCCAGCCTTTTCCTCTTTAAGTTGCTGTTACTTAGGTTTTCCTGCAAGTCATCAAATAGAAGCAGAGTAGACTTGTTGCTGCCTTTGTGTATCGAAGACGATAGTCTGTTGCTGTAACTGAGGTTGAATACTTTAAGGATAATTTCAGCTGCAGATTGTCAGCTTTTGGTATTATATCCTCTTTTAATTAAGAGTAAAAGATTTAAATTACAGTTTTGACATAAAGTTGCTCATTGCCTGGTCAGGGTTGTTTTCTCCCTGAAAACGTACATGTGGCCATACATGGGAACGGTAGCAAAATATTTAATTGAGTTATTGGGATGGATGTGGCAGGAAGAAGGGGGCAGAATATTGAATTTAACAACTTAGTCGTATTTTTAAATCCCTTCTTCTATGTGTTAGCTTAATCTGAGAGCAATACAGGTTTGTTTGCTTTTGTGAAGAGCTAAACCACTGTTAGATACGCTGTTTTACATATATCTGAGTAATGTGCTTTATTACTGTAGCTAATTTATGTTAAGTGCTTTTTTAAAGAATAGGAAATATTGTATTGAAACCAAGTGGACAATGTAAACATTAATGCATCCCTTTAAATGACAGCAATATCTATAAGCCCACAAAAACAAAGAAACTTGAAATAAAGCTGAAAGTACAAAATACAGTCACTAAATATAAGTTTATCTTATCTTTTTGAACAACATTGGTTCAGACAATTCTGTACCTGAATTGTGGATGTAAAAATGTAAATGCTTGTAGTGACAGGATAATGGATTATTTACATGTAAAATGATTTGAAAATTGTCCGTTTGTTTTGCATTTTTAATTGCTTCTGCTTCCAGTTCATATTTTTCCTAAAAATGTACTTAAATTTAACTGCATGCGTACACTCTTAGTTCATGGTCAAGTTCATCACTGTTAAATAACCTTGTTTCTTCTTTTTTTTTCATGGACATAACAGTTAACATTTTGCATAAATGAAACATTACATCATTCAAAGCTTCACTGATTTTTAAGACCTTAAGACTAATGTAATTTTCTTTTATCTTGGGGATTGCAGCATTCGACAGAAGGGATCAGGTTGACAGCTCTGAATGACAGCAGCCTAGACTTGTCTATGGACAGTGATAACAGCACGTCTGTGCCTTCGCCTACTAGTGCAATGAAGACGAGTCCACTGAACAGTTCTGGAAGTTCTCAGGGGTAATGAGGACTTTCAGTCTTGTTGCTGCTCTCTGTTCCTGAATTACTTGTGTTAAAAGCATAGCAAATACTGCATGTGTGAGATACTACAGTTATCAAGGTGTGAATGTTCCAAATTAGAGCTTGCAGATATTCTTATTTCCAACTTGAGCACTAGAGCAGGGCTAAATTTGGAGGATAGAGCATGGCATTGGACTTGAGATGAGGAGTTATAAGGCTGGGTAAAGATGCTTAGAAGAACAAGGTGATATAAATCTTGGTAGCATTGCAGTAGGAGGCTGTGAGAGGTAGTGAGCGGGAAATCGAGGTGTGAGAGTGAGGAAGGGTTATGTGAGTTTTGGATCAAAATGTGAGACAGTAGGGAAGTTTATGCTTTCTGTCTGGGAAATCAGTAGGGCGATTGCTATTACTGATGATATCTATGCAAATTAAGCTTAGGAACATAATTTTCCATTGTATTTTCAAAGTGTACATATTAATGTTTATCTTAATCCTAACTTTCTGTATTGTCTTTTCCTGTCAAAACTTCGATTTGACCAAGCAAATGGGGTTCTGCTCTCTTCTTTCAAGAGACCCATGTTTGTGTGTTTGATACAGAGAAGTTTATGTCAATCTCCTACAATTGTGCAGTATTTGGCATATATTATAGGATGTTGTGTAGGATAAAATACTTAAGTTCACTGAACTTACTCCTTTTTGACAAGTGCTCTTTTAGTTAGTCTTCCTTGGTATGTGTTTTCCAGTAGCTGATGCCACTGACCATGCTATTAAAGCAAGCCTATGATATTTTGTACAACCCCCTGCAACGCTACAGGCTCGGGGAAGAGTGGCTGGAAAGCTGCCCGGCAGAGAGGGACCTGGGGGTGCTGGTTGACAGCCGGCTGAACATGAGCCAGCAGTGTGCCCAGGTGGCCAAGAAGGCCAATGGCATCCTGGCCTGTATCAGAAATAGCGTGGCCAGCAGGACCAGGGAAGTGACTGTGCCCCTGTACTCGGCACTGGTGAGGCCGCACCTTGAATACTGTGTTCAGTTTTGGGCCCCTCACCACAAGAGGGACATTGAGGTGCTGGAGCAGGTCCAGAGAAGGGCAACGAAGCTGGTGAAGGGTCTGGAGCACAGGTCTTATGAGGAGCAGCTGAGGGAGCTGGGGTTGTTTAGTCTAGAGAAGAGGAGGCTGAGAGGAGACCTTATCACTCTCTACAACTACCTGAAAGGAGGTTGTAGTGAGGTGGGTGCTGGCCTCTTCTCTAAAGTGACAAGTGATAGGACAAGTTGTGCCAGGGGAGGTTTAGTCTAATATTAGAAAGAATTTCTTCACTGAAGTAGTGATCAGGCATTGGAACAGGCTGCCCGGGGAAGTGGTGGAGTCACCATCCCTGGAGGCGTTCAAGAAACGTGTAGATGTGGTGCTTAGGGACATGGTTTAGTGAGTTAGGTGGTGTTGGGTTGGACTTGATGATCCTTGAGGTCTTTTCCAACTTTAATGATTCTGTGATTCTATATTTAAGATGTCATATTTGAAGTGAAAATTGCCCTGTGCTGATATTAGACACATATTTCTTCCCTATTTCTTGAAAACGAAAAACCAAATTTTTTTTTGGCATGTGGAATCCCAGGCCTTTGCTTGGGAAGTCTAGACTGAAATCATTGTCATAATGGTGTGTGTAGACTGAAAACAAACTTTCTGTTCTAGTCCTTCTACATAAGTTTTTTTCCATCTTTCAGGAAAATAGTTGTTGTGTTTTCCCCTGTGCCTTATTTGGGCAGATATTGCCTTAATTTTTGCCTTTTTCAAATACGACTTCTAATTGGTCTAAAAACTCTCTGAAGTGTTTCAGATTAAATATTTGAAATAGCTTCCATTGCTCAAGTTTGATAGTAGATTGCCAATGCTCGTTTTGGTTTCCCTATTGTGATGCAGTATTGTAAGTTCTGCTCTCTGATGTAGGTAAAATCCTGTCATCTATAGTTAGTGGCCATGCGTATCATGTGATGAAAGGCAGATTGTATAGCACCATAGCTTTACTAATGTTCAGCATTTCTTATTTCTCTCATTTTTTCTCTTTTTAGCAGAAGCAGTCCTGCGCCAGCTGTAACAGCAGCATCTGTGACCAACATACAGGCTTCTGAAGTCACTGTGCCACAAATACTTTCCAGTGAAAGCTCAGGGGGTAAGGGAAAATGGCATAGTATATTGTTTCTATTGATTTTTGGTAAGGTTTGTAAAGCAGATTTTTTTCCGTCTTGAGGACTTTAGTTAACACATACTGTTACATGTTCCCCTTGATATACAGATTTAACTAACTTCTTTAGGACTCTTAAAATCATGGCGGAACATTTTGTGCTGCAATGTTTGTTCTTTTATTCTTAGGGATTTATATTTGCTATTCACAACAGCAAGTTTTACCATGACCTGATGTAGGTCTATAATTCAGTTGGTCAAATGAGGAAGAACTATCTAAAGCTAGAAGAGACATTTTTTGGTCTTTGTTTTTAGTCAGTTTTGTAGTTAAACCCAAGAAGTGTTTCTGTACAGTCTTTAGTCTGTGCTCCCATGTTCCTGCTCCTTGTGCTTCATGAAATTGATTCTAGGAATGAAAGACTCAGGTGTAAGCAGAACACATGCTTCTTCCTGACATCATTTGAAATACATCCCACTGTGTGTGCTGACTTTATCCTCCATATTTCCTACAAGAAAAAGTACACTTCACTTGATACTTTAAAAAAAATTAAACAAAAATTGCCTATTGAGTGAAAGAACAAAGGTATCTGGTGAAAATGGGCACTTCGCTGCTCTTTTTTGATGGAACTTTAGATGTATATGAGGACCAAGTCAGAAACAGATGGAAAAGGGGACCAACTGGTTAGCCTTTCAAGATGAGATCTCAGTTTACTCTGCGATGTGGGATGGTGGAGTCTTACTGTTCTGTTTTTTTATTGTAAGTCAGAGGTGCATCAATGTGAGCAAGTATGTCCATGAGCGCTAAATGGAGCTTAAATGGCATGACACTTCTTTTTGGATTTGGAAGCATATCAGAAGTTGTTCATTCTTGTATTTTGGTTAATCAAAAGCAGTCATCTGATTGTTATTAATGAAAAATTTAATCCATGTAATTTTTCTCATCTCATCACCTCTCATTGAGGTAGGCAATTGATGAGGTAGAGCTCTTTCATATGGAGTATTTTTCAAAAGGACATATGGAATGTCAGATCTTTGTCTTGATGCTCTGTGATGACTTCATATCTGACTCATACTCTGAGCCTGATAAATGATAAACTTTGAGTGACAAAGGCAGTATCAGATTGCTCTTCGATTTGATTTAAGGCTGTATTTGGCAATGCGTGTATGGCTGAGGACAGAAACAGTGAAACTTCTTTGGGTACCAAGGCAAATATAGCTGTATTAGCACAGAGCTCTGTCTGGGCTAGTATACCTTGCTGTAAGCAGGGTTAATTAGACGAAGCAGAGTGTCACTGGCATGGATACCCTCTATCTGCTACAGTAATTTTCTCTCAGAATGAGCTTGAAACAAAACTGTTCTGTTTATGCACACTTTCTGTTCCAAACATGATGTGTACACCTGTGCCACTTCCTTGATGGCTGCTTGATACCAATAGTTTTGAAGAGAGACCAAAAATACTAGTGACTGAACTGAAATGGTTGTGTCAACTCATCTTGTTGAAGCTTTTTAAATTATTTATCCGTAGGTACTTCAAATGAAAGCATTCCTCAAACTGCCACACAACCAGCCATTTCTCCACCACCAAAGCCTACCATCTCTAGAATTGTTTCCTCACCGTATCTATTAAATCCATCACCAAGAACTTCAGGAAATGTTGGAACAAAAATGTCTATCCCTGTCACAGCAGTGAAAAGGACATGTTCTCCCCATAAAGAAGAGTCTCCCAAGAAAATGAAAATTGATGAGGTATTTGAGATTTTGAGATCATACCATAGCAATGTCTAAAACTTTGAGTATTTGTTTTGGCTGCAGAGTGCTGATTCTCATATTCTAGGTTCCAAATTATTTTGTTAAATGGGGTGTATATTTCCTACTCTAATTGCATTGCTGCTTTGTGTATCCGGCTTGTTTGGGTGTTAGTGTTTTTTTTTTAAATTGTGTTGATATTCATCATGTGACATATGTACTGTGCTAGCACAAACACTTAGATTCTAAATTCTTGTCTTAAAACCAATTTTTTTTGTTAGAGTATAATATGTTAAGTCTTACAACTAATTCTGTCTTCACTGTGTGACCTTATTTTCTTGTTGATTTTTTAAAAAATATGTTTTTATGATTTTTAATAGTTCTGGATTTGTTTGCATTACAGCAGGATGAAATAAGTGAAGATACTAGCTGTATAGATTTGAACGAGCATGAAAAAATGGAAACTAAGGTATCTATGCCTACACCATACAATTTTGTGTCTATTAATTGGGACTCTTCCTTGTGAAAATTACTGCGTTTTCCTCTAGGAATGACTAAGTGTTTGTAGATATAGTATAGACTTTCTAGTAAAGATATGAAAATGATACGTTAGTTTTCAATGTATGTGTTAGTGTTACTGAATTGCAGTACATTACCCACTGCCAGGCTAAGCTGAGCCTGAATCTATGGTCACATAAGACAGCGATTTCTTTGCAGGTCATTCATATACTATTATGCATAGCGAAAAAATTAATGATGATCTTTAAATCAAATCAGGGATGTGGCTAGATGCCTTGTTTTGCCTGCATCCCAAACTCGGTATATGTTTGGATTTTTGCATGTTGGGCTGAGAATCCTGAAGCCAGGTTGCTACCTTGTTCACTTTTTAGATAAGAAGAATTTCAAATTATGGTAAATAAATCTTTTCTGATAGCGAAATTGTTATGTGAAGTTATAGCATGCCTTTTGGAGACTTCCAGAGATTCAAACATGGGCCTTCAGTATCTTGTAATTTAGCAGGCAATTTTTCTGTTTATTGGTGAACAGAAAGGGTGACAGTCTGTCTTTAGCCTTATGATAACAGCTTTCCACTTGGGTGTGTACAGTTTTTATAGAGCAAGTTCTGCTGACTTCAGAGTACTCTGGAAAATATGCCGAGAAATTAAAACACCTATTAACATGTTTAAGTGCTTTGGTTTATAGTTTCCACACCCTTAAGTGAGGAACTGTGTCTTGTTGTGAAGTCACCTTGAATTCTTTTTGAACTCAAGACAGGTGAAGGCAGAAATGCATGTAAGCATTTAATCCTAACATTGAAAATAGATCCTCTGGATACAGATTATTATAACAGACATAGGTAATCCCGTTAGCTTTTATTGTCAGTCTCCTCTAAATCTTATGTCCTTAATATGCATGGAAGGAAATGGAGGAATGAACTTCTTCAACATAAATATAGATTTTTCTCATTTGAAATGTATGCATTTTTTGTTTAGGATATGGTTTACTAAATGGTGCAGTTTTAACTAACAGCCTGTTTTCTTTGAAATGAGAATCTGCTACTGTCCTGCTGTAGCTGTGCAGTCCCACTGCATTGGTTTACCTGAAAAATTGGCTCTGACATTTATCTGTTCATCCAGAAAGCTGTTTCAACCCATTAAAGCAGCAGAAAAACTTTTCTGTTAGAATGGTGAAAGGAGTGGAAAAAGCAGCTGAATTTGCAACAAATTCAGTAGTTTTTCACATGGCCTTCCTTGATACTACACTTTTTGTCTTTAATGAGTTGAATGACATGTAATGTTTTCCTATAGGATTCTCTAGAAAAGGCATTAAGTGGTTAAACAAGTGATAACTGAGAAGTGATGTAGCTTGTGATGTCAAACTCCTCACCAGTAAATTATTCTCTACTGTGGTGATTTCTGTATTATAAAGGGATGGGTATCAATGCAGCAAGTACCAATACTTGCCTTTTTTCTTTTGGTGTATGTGACATCTTAAGGCATTCTAGTTAATGGAGTTCTGTATCAAAACTTTTATAATTGGAGGGGGTGTAACTGTGTTGATGCTTTTGCTTTTTCAGGAGCAACTTGAGACAGAAGTGAATGTTAATTCTCAAACAGAAACTCTTCAGACAACTTCTCTGCAAGCTCCTCAGGTATTGTTTTTAAAAACAACACCTCTGTGTGTGTGTGTACTTATCTGTGGTGAAAACATTGAAAATAAAATGAGTCCAGATGTTAAAAGTAAATGTATGATTTTTAATATAAATCCATTGTATGGAAAGCTGCTTGTTACTGTCGCAATTTTTGTGTTTTAGATGGTCATTGACCTTATTGAATGTGCATTGTAGCTAAACATGTATGGCTTGCCATACAAACTGACCGAAGCTGGATTCGCTCTTCTGAATTGTGCCTTCAAAGTAAGGGGCTCAGTTTATTCCTTTGTGCTTTGCACATCACAGAATAATCCTTTCTAACAAGGAAACAAATGCTTTAAATAGCTGCTGCTGAAAGATATCATTTTAGAGGTTGAGAATGTCTGGTATGTAATTTCAGATTCTGATATTTGGTGTGTGAGAGAGAGAAGCTGTAATCTTACAATTCATTAGCCAGCTTTTTTTTTTCACTGCAGGCATTATAAGTGTAAGGAGCATTGGAAAAATTGACATTAAGAATTCTGTGGCGTTCACTTAAATTTTTGTTCCTAATATTGTAACAACTTAGAGAACACGTCTTTGTCTTTACTGGCATTTTTAAGCTTCTCTTAATGCTCTACTGATTAAAGTTTCACTATCACAAAGCATTTTATGCACGCTTTACTCATTAAATGATGTGTAGTAGATGTATTGATTGAAAATGGAGATATATTGCAATAGTATTAATGGTATTTGTTATCAGACACTTTGAACTATATGAGCAGTCCTGAATCAAGGTACCAGAATTGTTTGGCAAAAACTCTAGGTGTTGCATGAGCACTCTAGACTGCTTCAGGGAAATTTTTGGATCATTTAGTACACCAAACTTTTACCTGATGTTGAGGGATGATTATCTAAAGCTTTGTAGCTTGTACAAATTGAGTAGTTGTTACTTAGCAAAAGTAATCTGGAAAATGCAAAAAGAATGCTGCATCTCTTCTGTCAGTATTCTTGTTCGCTTCGTTACTTTGAACACTGCTTATGTTGCAGAAAATAGAAACATGTTAAAACTGCAGGTGAGCACCAACCAGAGCGGGCTACTGAGAGCAGGGGGGAGGCAGGAAGAAACATTTTCTGGTAAATCCTAGGAAGTAACGCATAGTAACTGTGTTATTGTGATGGTGATGTCAAATAATCTGCTGAAGTGGAAGAGAAATGCATCAAAATTAAAAAAAAGGCAGTAGATGCTTGTAAAGCATGTGAGAAATCAGTGAATCAAATTGAATTTTGAGAGTGTTCCTTTGCTGTGTTTTCCTTTATTTGGGTTTAGATAAAGTTTTGCTGAAGGGGATTTAAGTCTTAATCCGAACACTTTTTTCTCACTTATTTTCAAGATACAATTCTTAATGCAGTTGTATAGCACTGTTTTAGAGTTCATCATATGTTTTCCATGTAAATCTAAACCATTATGAGAAGTTGGAAGCCTGGCTGCAAACAGCTTTTAAACAATCTGAAGTATAAATGTGTGAAGACACATAATCGCATTGGGGACAGTTTTTCATCATTCATCTGTAAGGGGCTGAGGCTTAAGACTGAATTGTTCAAAGGAATTTTTAAGTATTAAACATGTACATTAGATAGTAGATGTCACAGATCAAGCACCCTTATTATGTGGCTGTTATGTTTTATTATAATACAGGTTATTAGTAAGCTCAGTGTTACTGGCATCACTTCCTAATTTCTTGCTGTTGTTAAAAAAGGAAATGCATACTGTGAAAGAGACTAATATACAAATTTTCCTTAATGACTGTGTAGACAAAGGAAATATCTGCTTCTGTATTTATAGTGCATAATTATACTTACTTATGTTCTTACTTATGTTCTTAAAAACTCTTCTAAAGATCGTGTTTTTGAAAGTTAGTGCCAATTGCTACAATATTTTTCTTCTCATATTTACAAAGTTAAAATACAACCAAACTTCTTTTCTTTTCAGAAAACACCCAGTACAGACCTTTCAGATATCCCTGCTCTCCCTGCAAATCCTATTCCTGTTATCAAGAATTCAATAAAATTGAGATTGAACCGGTAAAAACAACCTCAGGGGTCCATAAACAGTATCTGCCGACTCAACCTTTTGTCTTCTAGGAAAAAAAGGAGAACGGAGAGTGCAAGACTAGAACATGATTGCAAATGGATTTAGGTATATTTTGTGCACTTCCCATTCTGGGCTAAAATCACCACTTGATTGGAAGTCCAGGTTAGTATGTGAAGCCAGGAGTACAATTAATGTGTTAGCAACAGTTGCATTAAGTATTTCGAAGGATTACTGCCTTTAAAAACATGAACACTATTTGTAGCCATATTTGACATTATGATTGAATTTGTTTGATGCATTGTTTCAAAATTGAGATAAAACTGGCATAAGAATCCCTTAAATGCACTTTTATGTACTTTTTTTTATTGGAGTATGACTAATTTTAGATCTTCAGCTGATACACTTTTGTTTTATTGAAGAATCTCTTCAATATTAGTAATCTGCAAATTGGATGACATTCTATGATATGCTATACATTGAAAGCCAAGTGTATAGTATATCTAGTTCAACTGCCATCAAGCAGCAGTAAGCCTTTAAAATGAGATGTCAGATTTTGAGGTTATAAGACATGTTGAGGATGTAATTGGGAAGTTTTGGTATTGGTGGGACATGATTAAGATGTGGTCTAATTTTATTTATACGATTGTTTTAAGGTGCATACAGATCAGCAATCAAACAGCAAATAAATTTTCCTTTGAGCTAATGAAACTCCTTATTCCCTTTTTGATCCTTTTATTTCTTGGGAAAAGCTTTTATGTTTAATGTTGGGGTAGGTTTGGGGTGGTTTTTTTTTTTTTTGCAGCTTGTATGCACCATATAGGACAATAGGTATTTATACAAAATAAAAACAAGCCAGACCCTCAACTTGTTTCCCCCTTACCTAATCATACCTTGTGGCCTGTAGGCACACATTCAAAATTTTGTCCCATGACTAAAGTGGTTAAGTAAATATCGCGTGCCTGTGAAATACAACACCTGTCTTGATGGCCTTTGAATCACTAAATATAAGATGATTTTTGTACACTCCGTAAAAGTCCTGTATGCATTAAAAAGCTTCAAATTTTAAATAAAGGCAAAAAGACTTTTCCCTAAGAATTTTAACCTTTTTATTTTTAGATGACTCATCAGAAATAGTTTTACATACTGAACAACATTGACTTTTTAAAAATCATATTTCTAGTAAGCACTTGACATCTAGTAAGCTCTCTTACTCCTATTTTTTGTTCTTGTAGTCCTATCAAAAAAGATAAGTAACAACTTTTTCTTTTGAAAGAACTGAATCTCTCATGGCAAAGAACAGCAGTATTTGAGGAACATGAGGGATACCAACAGTAATACCAGATGTAGATAACAAACTTCATGTTACTATTACTTAAGTCTGAAACATGTGGGATGTCAAATCATTCTTCCCATACTTTGATTAGCATGTTTTATGAAATCTCTTCTCCCATTGTGCTCCATCCTACTACACGTGCATCTTTCATGTTAAAATGAAATTACTTACACTCTTCCCCTTATCCTTCTAAGTTAATTCTCCAAAGTCAGAGTGTAGCTTATCTTTTACTTAGGCTGTGCAGTAACCGAAGGGGTTTTTTTGCCATTTGTCTAAGATGTCTAGTATACAATATTTCTCTTTTCCTTGCCCTGTGCAGCCTGCTGTCGTCCACCCCCCCCAAAGAAGGTTATATTAACAGTTGAAGTGTACAAGGTGTCTGTGTATTTTGTGTAGCTATGGAGTTTAGATCGAAATTGCCAGGCACAAATTTAGTCTTGTCATTTTGTTTACACATTGGAAAATCTTTTTCATTTTATTAAACGTTTCATGTAACAGCACCCAAGTTTTGCCAAGCTGGAAACTTGGAATCTTTCTGTATAGTGACTTTTTAATTCTAGTTTTCATAACCTGGAGATCAGACTGTTGCTTTCGCATGATGTACGTAGTGTCTCATGACTGGAGTTTGCTTTGTTTTATAGTATCTGTACTCCTTGTATTTTTCAAGAGCTATTTTGTAAACAGATGATGTATTTCTCCATTGAAAACACAATAAAAAACAGCACAATCCCATAGTTGTCTGTTTTTTCTGAATGTACAAAAATTATTTAACTCTCAAAATTCATACTTAGCTGTTAAATTTTCTGCTAAAACAAAAATACTGTGGCCTAAAGGAAATAGTACATAAATGTTCTCTAAATAAGATGTTTGATATAGGAAGTGAAAGTAAGAGTCAGCTGGATGTTGAGTTGTAGCCTTTTAAAGGGAAAGGTTGTGGATTGTGCAGTGGCTTGGCAGGGGCAGAGTTTATTACCAAGAAAAAAAAACCAAACCCCAAACATTTTAAGATCATCCATTCCTTGTCTCCTGATTATGAGTCCATCTCTGAATCTTAAATTCTTAACAGCTGACAAAACTAGATGAAATGTGCGTATAAACAATTTGGGCCTATACTATTTTCTGTAAAAGTTTGAACTTTTAAAAACATTAGCTGTAACAGTTTTGGCATCTTACACTTGCTTTACTTGCAAGTGAATATTTCTTATGTCAGCAGATGGCACTATTTCTCTTCTTATCGAATAGTTTAAGCTTGCCCTGAAATAAAAGTAAAAATTACAAGTAGCTGTGCATCACTTGATTGATCTTTGTATCAGCATGAGCCCAATCCTCCAAATGCTTGATGTGAGTAACTTTAATAAGTAGCCTTCCTTTGACTAAAATTTCTTTAACTGCGAAAACCACTGATGATTATGGTCTTCATATTATAATTACCCAGCCTAAAACAATAAACCTTTGTGTTGTATATATTTTTCACAGCATGCAATTGCTTGTCTTGTTTAGAAAAGATTCATCATCTTTATATCTTGCCCACCCCATCTCCCTTTCATCACAGCTGATGTTATTTATGGCTTTAATTCCTCTTTTATTTTCTCCAACCAATAAAAATCTGCTAGTAGATGTACAAATTTCTGTTCATTGTTTCTCAATGTTTTTCTGAGTTACCCGTCACGAACCTCCAGAAGTAAGTTCACAGACTTATGAGGATCTGCAAACAGGAAGCTGAAAATTACTGTTGTAGCCAAAATAATTAACATTAATAAGCCATGGTTCTAACAGATGGCTTTAGACATACTGATTTGAATCAGACATTCAAGCTGATGAGTTCTAGCTAAAGTTGTGCTTCCTTGTTGTAGGTAGCCATTTCTTAGTGCATTTACTTAAAAACAAAACAAAACAAAAAAAAACCCCCCACCCCCCCCCCCTGCAAAATCTTTAAACTTGTAGCTACAAGTGTATAGTAACTGAGTAGTAATGAGTATCAATTGATAGTAAATGTACCTTAATGAGAAAACCAATTCTAATCAACAATCAAAGTTAAAACTGAGTTCTTTCAGCTTCTAGAATAACCAAAAATAATTCAGTAGAGCAAGAACACACTACATATTACTGAGCCAGAACATATATTTAAATGCCAGAAAAGACTACTGTGGTAATTACTGAGGAAGCGGAGTATGTTTATTTTTTCATATTACATATTTTTTTGGAAGTTGTGTGCATTTGTACAAGAGGCATTTAGCATGTTGAAGTGATCCTGGCATCCTTTATGTAACTTGATAAACACAATAGTCAAGTAGCTTTGCTATGCTTGATTTCTCCTCAGCATCGTTGTGGCTGAACAATAATTACTAACATTTTGTCAGTCAAAGATGTGCAAGTCTTGAGAGTACACTCACAAATGTCTGTATACACATATGTTAGCTGAGTACTTGGTAAGTTCATTTCTTTTAAAGATCCAGTGTTTATATTGGGAAAATGTCAGTAATAAAACTATTTTAGTTTACTTTAATAATCTTAGTAGAATTAAGGATTTGTTCAATAGGAACAAAGCATCTTGGATTTGTTGATAGAGGCAGATGTGGTTTTAAACATCTACAAAGTTCAGGCTAATAATTTGAAATACCTACAAACATCAAACATCTGCTGCTGTCATCACCAAAAGAATGCAAACTGATACCAAACTTCAGAGGGCATGTTTTGTTATGAAAAAATAATATGATGAACCACTGCTGGATGTCCTATCTGCTTTTGGATCTCAAACTCTAATGGTTTTTAAATAAAGTTTAGGTATATTTGTGTTGTTCTGACTAGATTCTGGAATGCTCTCTTTAGGTAACTTTTTAAAATTCCTCCCACACTTAATGAATTAACCGGATCACAGTTTCTATTCAGCATGTCTGGGTTTTTTTAATGACCTCAGTATTTTTATGACCTCTGTATTCTAGTAGAGTGTTTAAAATAAACTAAGAATGACAGTGTCGTACACACTCTTAAATTTTTACCTCATAAACTCTGAAGATACTGAATTTAGAAAAAGTCAAATTTAACAGCATATTAATAGTTGGAACAAAAACTGTTCAATGGCATATGCAGATATTATCAAGCTTGGGTTTTGCAGTAAATTTCTGTCTTTAAATATGAGCCAGAATCCAGGCAAGTACTAGGAAAGGATAAGGAGGAAAATTACTATTAATGTAAGATGATTAAAAACTCCAATTTGTTGGGTAAGAAAAGTTGCATTTATTTAACTTGTAACTGTGCCCCACACGCACAGCTTACAAGTACAGATGCCTTCTTGTCTGTCTTACTTGGGAGCTAGCACATCTACTTCATGAATACATGTTCTGTTTGTATTCTTAGAAGGAAATTTCCTCAATAGGCTACTTAAGTAAATGTTTTACATGCTTACAATCTACACGTCAGTTCAAACTTTTCAGTTAATCTGATTATTCCTGTGACGTTTGCTTCAGTTAGGGTAATATGCTCACCTAAAGCAGATAGAATTATTAAAGTTGAATGGAGTGTTAGGTCGCATACCCTTCTTTGATCAGGCATTTCAAATGCATTAAAATAAAACTGGGGAGGTGATCCTTGACATTTGAGGAATTGTTTTCCCCCTCCCCTGCCTCTTCCCAATTAGAAGTTTGGTTCTAAGTAAATATAACAAATGTGGTACCTCTTAAAACGGCATGTCAAGAGTTTTGCACTACAGCTTCTGCTTCAGCTTTACTTGCCCTGTATGGTGTCTGATGCTGTGTGCCTTCCAGAAATCTGGCATGCGCACTGTCCTTGTTTGCGTTCTCAGTCTGCAGTGGAGCTGTTAATAAAGAGATTGATGATAAAGTTGTCGAAAAGAGACAGTTGGACAGGACTGCTCACCATGAGTGACAGAGGGCATGCTCTGCCTTCACAGCCAAGAACGTTGCCCCCAGCAGAGAGCCGGCCATGCCTGGATGCCGTGCCAAGCCTGTTCAGTGCATGGGGAGAGGAGTCTGCAGCTTATATGAAGGATTTCTATTAGATTTTTAGCCTGCATTCTTAAAGTGAGATTTCCTTTATTTTGGATCTTCACACAATTTTTAAAAAACTTTATGACCTCTTCAGAACAAATGAGGTTTCAGCAGCAATATAAAGCCTAGTGTAGGTAAGTTCTGAAATTTTTGTGAATGATCTGCTAGGACTTTTAAAATATTTTATTGTGGTCTGGCTCAATGAAGTGAAATGGAGATCTCTTGTTCTTAAAATTAACATTTTTTGCTTTTATGGGGAATAAATGCGTTATTCATGTATTCAGTCTAGATATTAGCTTCTGTAGGAATCTCCCTGCCAAGATGTCATAAACTTCATTCAACTCAGTCATATGGTTGGAATAAGAGAAACCCAGGATGGTGGATGGAAGCATTCATTGTCTCAGCCACAGTTTATCATGTATATATTTTATCCAGTGTAAGAAAGAGTAAGACTGATAAAACATTTGATAGTTTAGGCCATCTGTTCACACAGTATATTAGAATTATTAGTGA